CCTAGGATCTAGGAGGGATGTGGTCATCATTGAGACCTGCCAGTCCCTACTGCTGCAGTCCCAACTTGGCGGCACATTTCTCTCCACCCGTTCCTCCTCATTTGTCTCATTCTCCCCCTTTTTTCTCTCCCTTCTCTTTTATTACTGTTGGGACAAGTGTCCAACAACTATTTCTTCTCTTTCTAGTTGTTGGACCTTTCCCAAGGTCCGATTTTGCATCCGGCAGGTGGCCGTTGCACTTTGGATTGCAATAGTGGCACCCCCATGGTCCTAGGGGGCTCCTTTTGGCTGTCGCCGCTCTCAGCTTGAAACCCCCTCGCTCCCATTTTCTCCGGCCAACCATTTCTTCATGCGGGCCCTTGGGATTTTGTTTTTCTTTGCCCTGGCTGATCCGGAATAACTCGGACTGCTGGCCGACCCCCTCATTACCACTGTTCCCCCCTCTTTTTCCTTCGGCATCTCCCGCCGGCGCTTGCCGCGGCGGTACTTAGCATTTTCATCCGGACCCCTGGTCCGGACGGTCTCGTCCACCTGACATTATGTTATTTTATTTTTATCATTGTCGCGCTTGATAAAGGGTCCCCCTGGGTCGTCCCAGGTGCCCTCCGTCTTTCCCGGCTCACGCCCGTCTCCTCCGTTCTGTCGACAATTTCCGTCAGCGCCCGACTTCTCCTCTTTTCTTTATTGTTCCTAGTCGCCCCTTTTTTTTCCGGCGTCATCCCGGGTAACGACCTGCTCTCGTGAGCCCCCCCCTTTGGGCTGGTCGCCGATTATTCCGCCGACGGCTCCGACCTTCAGCCCTTGTTGGCGGCTCCCCACACTTTATTCTATCGATACCCGTCCTGCTAGTGGTTCCGTTGGTGCCGCCATTTTATCTAGGCCCACGTGGTCCCTGACACTTCGGTCTGCCTGCATTACGGCTTTCCCTTGGTCTCACGCTGTTCCCTGTACTCCGCCCTACCGGCACCACGCCGTCTCTTGGTCCCGCGTGGTCCTTGACACTTTGTCCTGCCGGTACCGCCCCGTCCTTCGATCCCATGTGGTCCCCGACACTCCTGCCCCACCTGTACCACGTCTTTCCTTAGTGCTCCTGACGTCCTTCCGCCTTACGGCGATCTCCGCTCCCCATTCCTCTTGCATCCCGTACACTATTCCGTTCCGGGTGCCGGCTCCCATCCAACCGGCGGCCTCCTTGGCCCTCTTACCGCTATGTCACGTCAGCGCCTTGCGCCCTGTCCCTTCCTACTTCCTTCCTTCCCTTGCTGCTCACCTCCTATGCTACTACCAACTTCATGGCGACCCTTCTCCATCCTTGGGGAAAGAGTCGCCCCTGCTATTCTCTCACAGTCCTTGGCCGCTTCCTGCTTAGACAGTCCCTGTCTAGTTTGGCGGTCCTGACGACTCTGGGCAGCCTCTAGCTTCCTACTGTCCGTGCCCACGCTTCCGATCTTTTCAGCATTTCTGCCTCCGGTTTTCTCTGCCGTGCACAAATTGGTCATATACAGTCTCTCGAGTGACGGAAAATCATTCGGGACTCACCAGTCTCGACACCGCGCTTCCTTTCACAATTCTGGAAACACCTCTTGAAAGCTTATGGAACCATGCTCAATTATGGTACTGCATTCCACCTACAAACCGATGGACAGACCGAGAAGATGAACGATACTCTTGAAAAAATTATATCGAAGTATTGTCATCCACATCAACACGACTGAGATTAGTTGCTAACTGCCGTCGAGATCGCATACAATAACAGTGTTTGTCCTTCCACTAGCATGTCTCCATTCTAACTTGACCTTGGCTATCATTCGCGCTTGCCCTCTGATTTCCTACTCCCCTCGCACTTCAACCCCTTCACGCCCTGCCATTCCCTCAATGAATGGGTAACAACAATGAATCGACTTCTCAAAGAAGCAACTGAAACCCTTGAAAGAACACAAGAACAACAAGCAAATACGACTAACAAACACATACATGGCGTATCATTCAAAGTAGGGGACAAAATTTCACTCTCCGCCAAACGCTTTGAACTCGAACACGGCTTGTCCAAGAAACTCTCGAACAAGTGACTTAGACTATTCCCCGTCATTGAACAAACCTCTCCGGTAAACTACAAACTCCAACTTTCGCCTGACATGAGTCGCGTTCACTCTGTCTTCCACGTAGAATACTTAAGAGAATATTATGGATCCCCACCCCAATTCGCTAACCGCCCTTACCCTTTACCTTCACCGATCACGTTTCCCACAGACTCAGAATTCGTAGTACAAACCATCATAGGTCGACGAACCACACAACTATCAGACCATCCGGAATCAGTCACAGAATACAAAATTAAATGGACTAGATACCCTGATGAAGAATTCACATGGGAACCTCTTCCTAACCTTAAGAATGCTATGAAACTTGTTCGCGCCTATAATTATGCTTACCCTATATCCGAGATACATAATAAAACTCAAACCCTAAACCCTTGCATAAACCCGACATTCTTGCTCTACACACACCTCTTGCCTCTTTACACCCCCCCCCCCCCCTGTCTGATCCGCTTTTGCCTCCGCTTTGCCCCATTCTCTCATCTGTCCTCTGCCACATCCTTGTCTCTCTTATCCAAACTCTCTATGTGGCCCCTGCGCGTCGCCGATGATAATGGATCTAATGGGAAGCGCACAAAGACAATGGCATGCTGCAAGTCAGTACAAGGGGATAAGACCATTGGTTGGCCATCATGTTGTTCCCTTCGGCCAGCACCTTGGACTCGTAGACTTCTGGAGCGGCACCTCTTACAAGTACATCAAGATCAGTCTGCGACTATCCGGATCAGACCTCATCATCGGATCGTGTAATGGACGCAACCTACTACAAGGACAACCAAGTTGAAACTCTCGTCGTCTACGTCACAAAAATGTTGAAGACTGCTTCCTCACCGCCACTTCTGCAACACCCTTTATGACCTTTCTCAATACATGCTTTCGTTTTTGACACTTTGATACAGACCCGAGACGTCGTTTTCCCAGACCTCTCAGACACCCCAACTTTTTAGCATTGAACAAACAATTTTTTTTATTTTTCTCAAACCTATAACCTTGTTGAACACCAATAGGACTACCGTGTCATTTGCATAACCTCAACAAGATGACCCTGTTACTTAAGCATTGATTCTCTCATCCCTATAGAACCTCAATAAGATTACCCTCTTACTTGAGCATTGATTCCCTCATCCCTATAGAACCTCAATAGAATTACCCTATTACTTGAGCATTGATTATCTCATCCCTGTAGAACCTCAATAGGATTACCATTCTACTTTCATTCCCTCCTTTCCTTTTCTGACCAGCGATCGGCCCCGTCCCGTCTTTCAAAGTCGTTCATTGGGGTATTTGGCAGCCGGGACGTTGCCTTCTAGAGGGAGAAGATAGTGTTACGGACTCAGCCAGGGCTCGATCCCTAGTCCCTGGGCCTCCACAGGCCAGGCTGTTATTTCATTTTTGAGTCTCTGATCTCCGATACCAGACTGTTGGCGCCCTCTGCAGTCGGAGCCCGTTCTGAAAATTTCGCCTCTGGCACTTCCGGATTTGGATACTTGGCGCCATCCGACTCGGACGTTTAGGCGCCCAAACTCAGGCCTGCGATCCTCAGTTCAGTCTTGAGGCAGGTCGCACCTCGGCCCTCCAGAATGAGCCTGAGTCCGATACTTAAGACCGGACTCAAGCCCCGCTGGGGCATTCGGTTCTCGGCCTCAGTGCTTGTGCTTCAATGTGACTTGTTGCGACATTCTGTTCGAAATCAAGATTGCGACTTTGCGACTTTGCCACTTTGTGTCTGCGTCCGTCGAGTCCGTGTCGAGTTGAACGAGTGTGTGTGTGTGCTCTCACTCCCTCTCTCTCTCCTCCCCGACCTCGCTGATCTGGCTGAGCCTCGTCACATATTACTTAATTATTAAACAAATCTTATCCAGATCTGCTCTCGATGATTTTAACATGTATTACATATTTATTATGACTCATTCAGGGTTGCATCCCCGCCGACCGCCGACCGTATTGTACCAACTGATCGGGGCCGACCAGTCAGCTGTAGCCGACTGCTCAGAAAACAGTCTTCCTCTGATTTTTTTTTAGTTCTGACTTCGGG